CCGGTGCCGATTGTGACATGTAACTGAAGAACGAAGAACCATGATAAATACTTTCATTAAATACTTATGAAAGTATTTATCATGGTCCATTAGGAAGCAATGTTTACTTTTTGGGGGGGGGCCGTCACGATGGGTGTTTTTTAAACAGCGACGTATCGACCAGAACTATCGATGGCGTATCGATGCATCACGGGGAAGAGGGGCGCCGATGGATTCCGTTATTTTTCGTCCGTGATGGAGTGGGGGGGGACTGAGAAACGGACGTAGCCATAACGATGGGTGATAAAACCATCTCTGCCTGCAACTGTCGATAGTGACGTCGATAACTGTGATCGATGTATCGTGAGAGCCATACCTTTTCCCCGTTGCCGTTGAAAGTCATTTATCGTGTCGTGTTTGTGCCATGCTTTCTTTGCGCTTCGTTCGGCTTCTGCGGCGTGCGGAAAACCGCCGGTGACCGATGCCGTTGTTTGACGATGCATCGGTGCAGCCGTGGCGATACGGTTCTCTTCGTCCGTGCCGGGCTGCAGAAGCAGCGGCTGACTTTTGTATCGATGTGATGGTTTCTCGTTATTCCGGTAACATAGTGACACGTTTTTTTTAATTGGTGCTGCGATAGTGTACCGTGTGAAACACGTACTCGAGGCGTCGTATCGGACAGTAATGTCACCCGGTGTTACCAATGCGTAGCTGCAGACTGAAATCGATTTCAGTAGAACGGAAGAACTTTGGAGATTCCTCGTACTTCCATGTTTGTCGTGTTTATTCACTCAGTAAAAAAAAAAAAATAAAAAAAAAACAAAAAAACGTCATTTTTGAGGCTTCAAAATTCCCACTGTAGAAATGCTTGATTTGTCTAAAAATTTTTTGGTATTGTAGAAAGTGCTCTAAAATTTGTTTCGCGAAAGTTCTGAAGCCTCTGGGCCGTTTAGGTAAGGAGCAACAGTCATCAGAAACGTCGATAAGAAAGTTCCGCATTTCCCCGTATCGGGAAGCAATGTTTTTTTCTCGCATTGTTCTCGATTATGTAGTGTCACCAGGTCGTGTCTAAAAAAAAGAAAAGTCACTGCGTTGAAGAGGTGGTTCTGAAAAGGGCTGGAGACGGAAAAAAGACTCCTCAGAAGCGAGTCCACGCATCGAAACTTTCACCGTTCACCCTCCAGTTCTGCAGACTCAAAACCCACCGTGAAATTCAGGCCTTTCTCATCTGGGACTAAAAAAAAAAAAAAAAAGAAACAATCAAGAATACGATGACGAAGAGCGTAAAAAAAAAAGGTCAAAAGAGAGAAATGCTTTGTGCAGAGCTGAGATTGCATCCGTCTCGTGCGGGGAAAAAGTGGCGTTTTGTGATTGCATTTTCAATGACTCTCCCTTTTTATCCAGACGACCTTGACACGAGATCTTTTAAGGATGCAACTTTCAGTTTGCAATCTGATAAGAAGTTTTTTTTTTATTAATCTAGAATTTCAACGGTCTCTTTAATTCTGCAGGACGCAATTTTTGTTGCGCCACCCGATATTTCGTGCTCGTTTCGTATATTATGACTTAAAATGGTAATGTTAACAGATCCGTAAACGAGGCGTGTGCCGTTTACGGTTCGCCGGTGCACGGTTCAAAGAGAGGTAGAACAAAGCCGCGAGGGGGGGGGAGGGGGGGTCGTTTGTGGAGCTGCGGAAGTCGGGCGGAGTTTCCATCGACTGACCTTCACCTTTTCCTACGGGGGGGGGGGGGGGGGGGGGGGGGGGAAAAATAAAAAAAAAAAAAAAAAAATTGAGAGGGGTCTCGTTTTTGTCCTTTCTCCTTTTCGCGTCGTCTTCACGGAGTCGCCGAGGGTGGGGGGGATGGTATGGTATGGTATGGTATGGAAAAAACAATGCTGCCTTCGTAATAACTAATAATGGTTTCCTTTCCTCTCCCCTCTCTTTCTCTCTGCGGCCGGAAACGAAATTTCTCACTCTGTCTTCTCAGAATTTATTACGCTCGTGAAAATCCAGCGAGGAATCGGGGCCGTCTTGCACGCGGAAGACCGACGAAGAAATGAGAGGATGACTGGAAGTTTAAGAACGCGAAATTTGAGTCGCTCGATAGAATGAACGGGAAATCCTAGACTGAAAAAAAATTTCAATGAATTGCGCTATTTTGAGAGGCACGATGGAATTTGCAATTTAATTTTAAATCTTCCAGCGTAGAGGAAGAGGCTTTCCTGTTCGAATTTTCATGCGCAAATATCCGTTTATTGCGAAATCGAACGGAAATTGGACTCTCCGTTGCAAAAAAAAATCGGGGGCGAGGGAAATGTCCGACCGGATGCGGGAGAGGATATCCTGGTCCTTTCCCTGCTGTTTTTATTCTCTGGTACGCGTGAAAGTGTCTCATCGATATTCAGAAGGGGTTCTTCCGTTAATGGCGGTTGCATGCGGCATTACCATAAGTCGGGCTCCCGCGTGACGCAAACCCCGATTGCGCGCGGGAATTGGAATTATATCATCTGGGGAATGGCCGCCGAGGGCTTGAATTTCCTGCCTTCGATCGGTGCAGGTGCCGGTGCAGGTGCAGGTGCAGGTCTGAGTCGAGTCGTGACACCCGAGTCCCGAACGGGACTCGGGTGTCCCGGTGTTTCCGCGCGGCGGTTGCGGTTGCCGACGGACGCGTGTGTCGAAACGAGGGGGAAAAGGCTAGAAAAAAACGGCAATGAAAAAAAAGAGGGAAAATTAGGAAATTACCCGGGGAAATTATCGAGGGACAGCAACGAAAGCTGAAAAACGTGACAACGACGCGAACGAAATGTGCGAAAAAAGCAACTGTAAATCCGAGTGGAAGTGAAAAGTCTCGGAGGTCATGGACCGTCGAGTGAGATCCTCATCGCAAGGGAGTGAAAGTTACCGTGCAACACGAGAGAGAATCCGCTTTCGCTGCCTTGCCATTGTGCCCCGGGGGGAGAAGGGGGGGGGGGGACTGCGCGATTCTCACGTAACGCGATTAGGTCATTCCCCGGTCCCAGGCTTTCTAGGACTCAAAGGGTCCACGCCCCCATTTTTTTTTTTTTTTTACGGGATTGTCAGAGTAAACACCGCGGATTTTTTTTTTGTCCTTTTAGGGCTGGTTTTGTGTATCGAAACCCCTTCTCTAAACACGGTGGAAATGTTTCTCCACGACAGGGGACTCTCGCCAAGGTCCTTTCGTCTTCCTTTCTTCCTCTGGAAGACCTTTTTTTTTTCTCGACAGGCAGGAGAGGAATTTCCCTGCCCTTTTCCCTCTTTTTCCTCCCGGCCCATTCCGTTTCCTTTCCTCGCCGCTGCATCTTCCACCAAAAACTTTTTTTTTTATTCTCCTCTGGGATCCTGTAATGAATCATTCCTTTCTCGGGCTGTTACAGGATCCCATTTCTTTCTCCGCCGCCAAATCCGTAGAATGATCTCGCTCGTGCGGAAATGGGAGATGTCTGGAAAATGGGCCGTTTCTGAGGTGTGCGCGGCGCTCGATCGAATATTCAGCAGTCCCATAAAAATATTCAGCAGTCCATAAACGATCCGATCGTTGAAATATGGAATGCCCCGATCCATTCCCATTCCCCTGGCAGTCTTCGAAGAGCAGTTTTGCTGATATTTGGGGAAAACGAAGCCCCCTCGAGGGTTCAGTCACCCCCGGAAAGTTGGCCGACTCGACGAAAGCGTCGACGATCGATGGGGGATTATGGAGGGGAAGTAGTGCAAGGACCGAGAGAGAGAGGGAAGAAGAAAAATGAATTCCCGGCAGGGGACATGCCTGCAGATGGTTCGCCGGGTTCTTCCCCCCCCGTAAAAGATCCCATTTTTGGCAGGTCTTCTGCAATTTTTCGTAGGTGGGACTGGGTCTGGACGAGATTTTCAATTGTGGATGTGCGCGGGGGCTCATTCCTGGAATTTCGTGATGCGGAGACGGGCCAGTCATTATCATCAGATGAATTCATGCCTGGATATACACCATTATGGTGTTCCGTGATGGAAATAATGAGATTTTCTTCCCCGAGCGCAGCCGAGTGATCCGGCAACCCTGGCATCCCGGGGATCGATCCCCAACTAACTCCACACTCTCTAGGGGTTTCAACCCCTTCCCCCCCCCCCCCCCCCCCCCCCCCCCCCTCTCCCAGTTTCCCAGGGATTT